TTGTTCTGGAATGGACAATGGCTGAAGAAGTCCAAAAGGCCAATGACGAGGAGTTTTTGATCTTGAGCAAACATCACATGATTATACAAAATCTTTGACTGCCTTTCACATTTGAGGCCACCAAAAATCCCTAGATATCAGTTCCAAAGTCTTATTATATCCAAAATATCATGCTGCTGAGAAGTCGTGACGAGCTTGAAGAATACGTAAACGTGCTTCTCCTTCTAGAACATATAGGCGTCCTTCAAAATAGAGTAGGTTGTTCTTGAATTCAAATTTAGAGGGATCATGAGATTTAGAAGAATTATTCTTGATATCATGAACAAGAGAGTCTGAAGACATACTTAACTGGACTTTCTTAAAAAAAGTTAAATCAACAATCAATGTTGATTTTATTGCTCGAAGATGAAATTGCTCTGACTTCAAGAGAATCGTTCTTTGTTATTCAAAAGCTGCATCTCTTTCTTTTGGTCTAAGATAAGAACGTCTAGACAAGGCATCGGATAAATCTTGTTGTTTTCTTGGCCGATAAGTGATGATGAACTCGAATCTTGATAAAGACATGCTCCAATAAGCTTGATGATGATTTAATACGCGTGTTGACATAAAATATTCGAGGTTCTTATGATCCGTATACACGATGACTGAATTGGAAGCGCCTTCTAGATAATGACGCCATTCTTGAAAAGAATCCACAATTACAAGAAGTTCTTTGTCATGGATCTCATAATTGATTTTTGCTACTGAGAATTTTCTTGAATGAAAAGCTACTGGATGAAGTTTTTCATCTGTTCTCATTTGTGATAAAATCGCACCCAGAGCAAAGTCTGATGCATTTGTTTCTATAAAGAATGCTTTGGAAAAATCAACACTATATAAGATTGGTACAGAAACAAACACTATCTTCAAAGATTCAAAAGCAACTTTTGCTTCTTGATTCCATTCGAGTTTGTTTTTATTAGTCAAATGTGTAAGTAGAACTGCAACTCGATAGAAGTCTTTCATGAAGATCCGATAGTAGTTGGCAAATCCCAAAAAACATTGAACATCTCTTACCATTTTTTGGATCTTCCAATCTATAATAGTTTGAACTTTCTTAGGATCTATCATAAGTCCATCATTTGAAATGATGTAACCTAAAAAATCGACTTGAGTAGTATAGAATACACACTTTTTCATCTTGGCATAGAGTCTTGCATCTCTTAATTTTTGTAACACACGACAAATATGAAGTTCATATTTTTTTGGATTCTTAGAATAGATCAAGATGTTGTCTAGATAATAGACCACAAAATCGTCCAAAAACTCTCGAAAAACATCATTCATTAGATGTTGAAAAGCTGCTGGTACATTTGTAAGTCCAAAAGGCATGACGTTGTATTCAAAATGTCCATACCTAGTTTGAAACGCAGTCTTCCATTCATCTCCTTCTTTGATGCGTACTAGATTGTATGCTCCCTGAAGATCTATTTTTGTATAGATCTTAGCTTGATTCAGCTGATCAAAAAGTCCAGATATTAAAGGTAGTGCATACATGCTCTTGATGGTAATCTTCTTGAGTCCTCGATAATCAACACACATCTACAATGATCCATCTTTTTTCTTCACAAATAGAATTGGAGCTCTTGTCGGAGATTTAGAATGGTGTATGAAATTCTTGGCTAGATTTTCTTCAATATACTCCTTGAGTTCAGTCAACTCATTTTATGATAAACTGTAGATTATTCCGAATGGCGGTTGTACTCCTTCTTGAAAGTCAATTGAGTAATCATAGGGACGATGTTCCGGGAGTATATCTGCATTCTTTTTTTTGAATACATCTTGAAATTCTTGATATTGGCGTGGAATGCCACTTGAAGTCTTTTCACCAGTAGAAACAGGTGTGGCATAAATAATATATGGTGATTCTTTCATAGCAGCATGCAAGAAAGCTTTTGTACTTATAAATACGGGTTTAATTGAACTGTACTTATGACTCTCTACTTGATAAACAACACTGTTAGTTATAGTTTTAGAGAAAGTAAGACTTTGGGAAATCCAATCTATTTGAAGGTTGTATTTTTCCAACCATGATAAACCTAAAATGACTAGATTAGAGGGAGATCTAATGATATTAAATACTACAAAACTATTATGACTATTGATTATTACTTCTATAGGAAGGGTTTTGTGAGTAATATCTCCAGAAGACAATGGACGACCATCTATGACTTCTACATGAATAGATTTAGTTTTCTTTACTAAAGATATGCTATGTCTTTTAGTAAATTCTTCATCTAAAAAACATGCTGAGGCTCCTGAATCTAACAAAGCAGAGACTTTGTAATGTTTAGGTCCTAAAATAATATTTAATGTAAAACAAGGAGAGGGCTCTGAGGAGAGAATAGGACCTTTATTAGATGTTGTGCAAGGTTCCATCCGCATGGTTCCTATTATAGTTGGACAAACTCGTTTTCCGACATATTGTCTTCTTTCACAGCCATACTCCTTATTTTGTGATTGTGTCATTTTTTTAGACAATGTTGAGCAGTGTGCTTTGGTTCTCCACAATATAAACATAATCCTTCTTGACGACGACGAGTTTTTTCTTGCTCTATAAGAGGTTTGAAACTTACTGCATCAATTTACATATCCTCTACTTCTGAATGTATGTGTTGAAGAGGTGTTGGTGTTGCCATTGAATTATAGTAACATTGAGGTCCACTTGTACGGTTCTCAGATCGGAATTCAAAAAGGTGATTGTCCCACTTCATAGCAAAGTCAATTGTTTGACTCAATGTTTGAGGATCAGGTAAGTTGAGCATTAACTTTTTTACCTCATATTGTAATCCGTAGAAAAATTGGCTAATAAGTGCAGCATCATCCCACTTGATATCAATTACAAGTTGTCAAAATTATAAAGCATACAATATTACTAATCGATTGTCTTGTCATAAAATATGGATCTTATTGGTTGCAACACGAATTGCATCATGTTGTCCATATATGGATCGAAACTCTACCAAAAAAGCCTCTAGATTATCTAATATTGGATCTCGTCGTTCAAGAAAAGATGAAAACCACAATAGTGCTGAACCTGAAAGAAGCGTACCAATGAATCTAACTTGTGATCTTGGAGTTGGATAGCTTTGGGATTGAAGTTCAATCACAAGTTGCACTTGATTGATAAATCCTCGAAACTTGAATCTAGTGCCATCAAACTTCTTGGGTAGGACAATTTTTGGTTCTCTAATATTTGAAGGGCGTTCCACCATAGGAGAAAGGACATGGTTTGGTGCAGATGTTGATGCAGCTCCAACCATTTCTATATCTTCACTTCCTACCAATCTTGTTGCTCCTTGTGGTGGTAAATTGAGTTGATGCATTGCAAGCATTAACTCCTTCAATTGTTCTTATATTTGTGCCATTGCACTCTTCATTTCAACAAGTTTTGCCATAATAACACTTAGAAGAGAGAAGATGTCTAATATTGCTCAAGACAAATAGAAGAGAGGAATTGGGAACAAAGAAAATACTAAGAAAAATATTAGTTTAGAAGAGGGTAATCCACAACTTCTAATATGCTTATATCTTATCAAGAAAAAGAGGTAATCCACTCTGAATCAAAATTAGACAAAGCTCTGATATTGTAGGTGTATTCTTGTCAATTTGTCAAGGACAAGAACTCGATGAAAAAGCAATTCAGACAAGTGAGCCTTCACTCAAAGAAAGGTATTAAAATATAAATAAATAAGTATGTATATTTAAAGAGAAACTAGAATGGCTATTGCCAAAAGTCAAGAAAACTAGAGACCCTTGAAACTAGACTAAAAGCAAGAAAGGAGTTGACGAGAGTGAAGAAGGCTTCTCTCTTGTCTCTATATATATTATCTAACTAGGAGCTACGTGGCGACGTTTTATAAGACCTCCAATTTGTGTTGACTTTGTAGGACACATGCCTTGACTTACAAGACAAGTTTTTCTACGTGTGGGCCACATAGATAGCTTGATCATCAAGCTAACAACATGAGTGGCACATGGCCAACTTGTTGACCACGTTTCTAATCCAAAAAGTCAATTAAAGACACCTATGAAGTCAAAGAAGCATCTATGAAGCTTTTGGGAAGCTTCCATATTAAATACTATAGAATTAACTTACTTTTACCTACTTTTACTTACTTCCACCTATTTGTATATATAAGTACTAGCTTACATGAGTATGTCCGTGACATCTACAGAGTAAAAACAATTTATGTCAAAGCAAAACTATAATATCATTTATCACGATGGATTATACAAGGTTTTGAATAATTGCACATTCATTTCAAACTGGCATTGGTATACATATTTGTTATTTCTACAAAAGTATATTTTATTTCTTTTATATCATTCTAAAATTAAAAAATATTTTTAAAAATATTATTAAATAAGAATTATAAGAATAAATAATAGAGATATTATATTTATAAGAGAATAAATATAAAAAACCATGTATGTATATATATATATATATATAGACACCTAGCTACTCCAAACTCTGAATACTTTGAGTAGTTGGTTCCATTAATTTGCATGAGATGTAGAACCTATGGGCACAATTACCTATGCACACCATTTTTACAGGCCTCCTATGTCGGGATTTTGAAGCATATCTTTTGACAATCCGTTATTGTAACTTCTACATAAACCTTAACAATAAATAGAAAAAAAAATAGAAAAAAAAAAAAAAAAGAAAAAAAAAAAACATGTCACCTATATCTGATGGACCTCATATCAAACGCAATAATTGTAAGCTTTGTATTGGCCAATATTTTTGGTGTACGTCACACCAGAATCTAAAGTCGAGTCCCATAACATGAATTGGTCGAAATGCTCCAACAGGCTCTGCGGATACACCCACGAGATCCTTCGATAAATCCTAAACCCAGTAAGGACAGGGTATATTGATCGGGGTATCTACAGCGCCGCCGTAACTCGTGTCGAGCCATGGTGACCGTGCGAATTGGATCCTCCGGTTGAATGTCTGTGCGCTGTCTTGCTGGTGTGACTTGTAAGATGCTTCAACTGAGAAGGATCGATGTTCTCTCATTGGTTGCGATACCAATCCCCGCGCCGGAATCGGATGTGCGATTCCTAGCTATGCCGGTTTCGTTTTCCAAGTTTTTTTGAGAATTCTTAGATGCGGGCGAAGTGCGGGAGAGGTAGAGATGGCTTGGGAGTCGAGGTTTCTGGACATGGTGCTGGTGCCGCTGGGGATCTTGCTTTTGGCAGTGTACCACGCGTATCTGTGGTATATGGTGAAGTTTAATCCGGAGAAGACCGTCATCGGCGTGAACCACCTCAACAGGCAGTCGTGGGTCCGTAACATCATGAGTGTGCGTCGATTTTTCCTTCGCCTCGGTTTCGCCTTTGCGTTTTGCGCACTTTGCTTGAAGCTTCGAATGTGTGTGTCAGTCCAGGGACCACCACGGGCCAGCTGCTAACCACGTGTAGTCTTGTTTCTCGTGTAATTTTACTCTCTGCAATTTTCGGGAAGCATGTAACGTTAGTTTGTGGATCCTCTGTGCGCTTGGCACATTGCTTTGCATAATCCGCACCCGTTTTCGAGATTTTCTCGGAGCTGTGTGTACATGACTGTGTTTTAGTTCCTGAATATTTGTGGCATCCGATGTTTGTGGAGTCCAACGTGAATGGCGAAGAAATCATGCTCATGAATTGTCCGTAACTGCTCACGATTAGAATTCTTTGTGCAATCGGTCGGGGTGGGAGTATTTGGCGGTTGATGATTACAAAATTTAAATACCATTTGAAACACTGTCGATGATACGTGATGATTTCTAAAGCCAGGAATTAGGGCTTTCTGTCGTCTATGGCTACATATTGGAATGATTTATTCAGCATAGAATTCACATGAAAACACGCCATTTCTGAAGTATTTCGTCTGGCAATTTTCGAGAGTGAAGAATTTCATGACTTTCTGTTAAAGTTTTTTTTGTTTTGGACATAATCTGGAGTGACCGCTGTTTTGGAAGATTCTTGCAATCCTCATGTAACCAGGGTAATATTGCGGTTGCTACTTTGCTCTGAGGTGTATGAAATCGCCAGTTAAATCTTCAATGTTTAAAATTCTATTGTTGAAGAGTTTGTTCCAGAGATGGTAATGCTTTTTGTTGAATCCACAGGATAGCGAGAAGAACGGTGTTTTGGCAGTACAAACTCTCCGCAACAGCATCATGGCTTCGACGTTATTGGCATCCACAGCCATCACTCTAAGCTCTATCATCGGAGCGTTAGTAAGTAGCACATCCGGAGGCACAAGCAGGACACTGACGCATTTTGTATACGGAGAGACCGGAAACATCACTTCGACTCTCAAGTACCTGTGCCTCTTACTCTGCTTCCTTTTCTCCTTTGTCTGTCATGTGCAATCTATCCGGTACGCAAGCCACGCTAGTTTCCTGCTCAGCATTCCTGTTGGCGACAATTCTCCAGGTTTGACACCTGAATACGTAAATGAGTTCATTTTTCGGAGCCAGAACTTCTTTACACTTGGCTTGCGAGGCTACTACTTCTCCTTCCCCTTGTTGCTTTGGATTTTTGGACCGATTCCTATGTTTGTCTGCTCCATCGTTATGATCTTCTTGTTGCAATCGCTGGACATGGCCAAGGAATTCAACGTCACATTCAAGATTGTGCAAAAGAAGGAAGCCAGAAATGAAAATGACACTGAGCTTCATCAAATCCTGACTCCATAAGACAGATGGTAATTGGTATTATGTTTGGTAAATATCCTTAGACATTTGGTAATTGGTATTACGTTTCACAAATCTTCCTTATTCTGAGAAGGTTTATTACTATTGTGTCGCTTTATCAACTTCTCGTTGATTCCAAAGTGTTTATTTTACATGGGTTCTCTTAAGATTAAATTAAGAGTACTTCAGTTGAGTAATATTGATTTCCTCACATTGGGGTAATTGTTTTCAGACACTGTGTTCCACTCGTAGACATGGGATTGGTTCCTGTTCAATTTCTGCTTGTAGTGCAAATTATTCCCAGATTTTGTGGGCGTATCATGTCTCGTCATGATTGGATGTTGCCTTGGCCACCCATCACATACACCTGAAACAGAGTAGGTATACATTCTTTATGTGTTTACACGCATCCCCGCGGAATGTGGCATGTACATTGAATTTCTGTACTGCAATTGCCAGCTGTTTTATTCCCATTTATGCTCTTATAGAATACGTTCATGTTCTTTGAACCATAGATGCGATCAAGTAACTTTAATGCAAGAGAATGCACTACCTTGAGGACACAACCTTTCAGGAAGATTGTTGTCCCATTTAGCTCACAACCTCAAGTGGAGGGAAGCTCCTACAAGCAATGCTCAGAGGATAACATCTCCCTTGCAAACACCTGGTTGTCAATTTAATAGTAAGCTTTTCTTCAATTAAGATCAATTAGAGAATGTTCATCGTAGTTCAACTTTGTGTGAGAAATCCGATGAAAGTGCAGGGGCTGTGATCCAGAGTAAGCTGTGTTAGACACAAAGTCACTTCTCTTATAAATAACCAGAGTTCGAATCGCAAGTTCATGTCTCAATGAGCACCGATCACTACATTAGCCATGCAAGTCACCTTGGCACTTGGTCAAATAATCTGAAACCACATCACTTGAAATTATCCACAATTCACCTCAGTATTGAAAAAAGAAAAAAAAAAAAGAAAAAAAAAAAAAAAAAAACCAATTCAACAGTGCATCCTGAAATACACATGTGGCTTGGCCAGAAACGACAATGCAAAGCTCCACAACCCCATGACAGCTTCCTTACCAGGTTTGCACCGAGGGACGCAAGCCAAGCCGATGGGGAAAAGGTCACCTTAGGGAAGAGGAGAGGCGGAACTTTCAAGTGTCTTACGATGAGTGCGTGACAAGCACCCACGCTCGTGATGACGCAGGTGGAGCCGCGTGGTTTAACAGCCTGTTGGCACAATAGTAACTGTAAGGCAAAGGAAGGTAAGTGAAGCGGAAGATGTGATCCAGGAGCAACCACAAGGCCCCCCCTCCGGAGGTGAAGCTCTCGCTCCCCTGGAGCCTGGCATGACGGCGCTGGCACATGGGTTGAGTCGATCCGGATCCCTCTCTTCCTCGACGCTCCCCTTTGCCTCGTCTGCACGGGATCACCTCCGCTACCGTTACGTCCCTCTTGATCGTTGTCTTTGCTTCCACTGACCTGCTCTATATGGTTAAGTATTCGGGGACTTGTGAAACGGAGAGCTGTTCCCTTTCTGAATGACTGTGCTGGTGGGTTGAAGCGACGCGAGAGGCGAGGGAAGTTGCCTCATAGTGTCAAGGTTTCGGAGGTCGCAATGGGGGTGCATGGCGAGGAGCAGTGTCCGTTTCATGATTTGGGTTGGGCGCAGATTGGCGGATGGGTGGCAGTTCTGGGTGCCGTGCTGGTTGGAGCCTTAATGGCGGGTGTGTTCCTGCGGAAGACAAGGACTAAGCCCGTGGGGAAGAAGAAACAGGGCGGTGGGGTTGTGTCAGTGGGTGATGCTGATGGAGGGGTGCGCAGTGATGGCGATTTGGATGCTATTATCGTTGGGGCTGGTGTTGCAGGGTCGGCGCTTGCGTGTACTCTCGGAAAGGTACACGCCTACTCTTCTCTCGGGAGACTGTCGTCTCGATAGTGGGTATAGCTGGAGGTGGGTTAAGAAACACAGACGATATTATCACGAGTTATTCAATGCTGCATTTGTTACACATTGTGTCTCGCCGGGCCTGTGGGTTACGATCTGCGACCGTTAGCCGCCCAGGCGTGGCTCATAATTCAATGTTAAGGACTCAAGACGCGTATTGGCCTCATTCTGTATCCAACAAGTTTGCATGCATGCATGATACTTATCTCACCCATTTGTGTGTGGAGACTGCACCTATGAATTCGCATCGCCAACCGCATATACAAGGAGTGACGGCAGATATACATTACCCTATTTTCCGCAAGAACCTATTCATCGTTGTTTGTGCTCTTCTTCCATTCTGTACTTGGTCACGTACGGGATACATTGGTATCTACCACTGGAGCTAACCTGGTTTATGAAGCTTATTTGCGAGTATGGTATTTGCTTATTTGACCGAAAGTGGTCTAGTGACGATGCTCGGTGTGCTGGTAGGATGGGCGAAGAGTATTGGTGTTGGAGAGGGACTTGAGCGAGCCAGATCGCATTGTAGGAGAGCTGCTGCAGCCCGGAGGATACCTGAAGCTTCTAGAATTAGGTCTAAAAGGTGCTACTTCAATTCAACTTATGATATCTGCTGTTTCCATCTTTTCTTGTCAGGGCTATGAATTTGCACGTCTATTCTTAACTTTACTGGTTTTGAGGTCTGGTGTAGGAGGACCATTTCCGTGGGTTTCAGAGTAAAAGAGAATATCCATTATCAACCCATCGAGTCTGTTGAGAAGGTCAACAACACTTTTCTGATCAAATTAGGGATAATTCTGTATTTCCCAACTAGAGGTTGGCTTGTAGTTGTTTACACCAACAGATGCTTACCTGGGAAGCGTTGAAACTGGTGCAGATTGTTTAGAAGGTATCGATGCACAGAGAGTGGTGGGATACGCTCTGTTTAAGGAAGGGCGAGATGCTAAAGTGGGATATCCTCTTGAGGGATATGGAGATGATATAGCTGGACGCAGCTTTCACAATGGTCGTTTCATTATGAAAATGCGGGAGAAAGCTGCCTCGATTCCTCAGTAAGCAACTGAACCCCCCCTCAAATACGGAATGACGGCTGTACTCTCGTGATTGCTTTGGAGCTGTGTACAATATTTGTGATTCTACAATTCTTCATTTTCTTTTCATGTATGGCGTGGTAATACTGTTTCTGGGACTACATTGACGTCTGCAGAGTGAAATTGGAGCAAGCTACTGTCCTCGGCTTAATCGAGAACGAAGGTGTTGTCACCGGCGTGAGATACCGAACACCTGATGGTCAAGAGCAGGAGGCCAAGGCTCCACTTACATTCGTCTGCGATGGTTGCTTCTCAAATTTGCGTCGCAAGCTTTGTGAGCCGAAGGTCCCGTCCCTTTTTCATGAATCATTTACTCCATAGATCACTCTGTGTGAGTTTTGACGAATACTATTGGTACAACTTAAGTTGCTCTATGGCGCTACTTCCTTGACCAACAATATGTCAATTTCTCTTGTTTGTGCAGGTTGATGTCCCGTCATGCTTCGTCGGACTTGTGCTGGAGAACTGTGAGTTGCCTTACTCTAGCCATGGGCACGTTGTTTTGGCGGACCCATCCCCCATCCTTCTTTACCCTATTAGCAGCACAGAGGTTCGATGTCTTGTGGATGTTCCTGGCCAGAAAGTGCCCTCCATCGGTAATGGTGATATGGCCAAACATCTTCGCACTGTAGTGGCTCCTCAGGTAATTGCTCTCTCCCCTTCCCTGCGTTTTCTCGATCAGGATCTCTGCAATACTTGCTGTCTCCTTGCCTTTGTTGGTTTCTGCTGAGGCTTTGGAGAAAGTTATACAGTAAAGAGCATGATATGCTATTCTATGTGGTGTTGGTGAAACCTCATGTTACTTGCAATGCTTTTCAGCTACCAGGGCAAATACAGTCTTCGTTCCTTGCTGCTATAGAGAAGGGAAACATTCGATCCATGCCAAACAAGACCATGCCTGCATTGCCAAGGCCTACACCTGGAGCTCTCCTTATGGGGGATGCATTCAACATGAGACATCCTCTGACAGGCGGCGGCATGACCGTGGCTCTTTCCGATATTGTTCTGCTCCGGGACATGCTCAGGCCTTTAAGTAGTTTTCATGATGCTCAATCATTATGCGATTACTTGCAGGCTTTTTACACGCGACGCAAGGTGTGCTTTCTATTCTTATTGTTTATTTATTTTTGTGTATATGTGTCTGCATGACCAGCATTATCTTATACACATAATGTCAGTATTTAATCATTTCGAGCATGTTGGAAGACACTGATTAAACTTGATGCAGTACTCATCTTAACTGCAACATGGCTTTGGAAAACAACGAAGTGTTTTGTTTTCTAAATTTACTGAAAGGGATTAGCGCTGACGTAACTTCTGCAATGCCTTTTCAACTATTATTTTTAACACATGCTAGGTCTTCCCTGGTTTTGGTTGTGCAGCCTGTTGCAGCCACTATCAATACTCTTGCGGGAGCCCTTTACAAAGTGTTTTGTGACTCCCCTGATTTGGCGATGAAAGAAATGAGACAGGCTTGCTTTGACTATTTGAGCATTGGAGGTGTCTTCTCAAGTGGACCAGTTGCCCTTTTGTCTGGACTTAACCCTCGTCCTTTGAGTCTAGTGGTCCACTTCTTTGCGGTTGCTGTATATGGAGTAGGGAGACTCCTTGTTCCTTTTCCTTCACCGTCAAGGGTATGGATTGGCGCACGTCTCCTACGGGTACGTCCCTTCTTCTTTAGCTTCAAACTCGATTCAATTTATCTACGGTTTCTGATCACTCGATATTTGGTTCAAAATCAAATCGCCATCTGTCTACGATTCCATACCTCTTTCCACACTACGATATTACGATTTCTTCATAGCTTCGCAACTGTGGTTGCTTTCCAGGGAGCTGCGAATATTATATTCCCGATCATTAAAGCAGAAGGAGTCAGGCAGATGTTCTTTCCAAATATGGTTCCTGCATATTACAAAGCACCACCGGCAGAGGAGTAAGTGAAATGTGATGGTGCGGTATTGAAATTAACCGGTCTCGTTTACTAATAAACAGAGACTGGTCATTAATTCAACCAGTTCCTCCTGTCTCGATTGCTTAACTTTCAATGTCGGTCATGACTTGCTTCATAACAGTTTTATAATCGACTTCGTGATTTGGATGATGAGCGCTGCGCTTGGTAGACATCCTGAAGAAAGATATTCCAATGGTAGTAAACTTTCCTTCCAGCTACGGTTTAGGCATTGTTGTTTGTGACGTCCAACTTCCTGCTGATTTGGCAAGTTGCTAGAATTTGAGCTTCGATGTTCAGGGATCAGCTCGGTTAATTGGAGCTAAGCATACAGGAAAAAGATTCTGAGAGCATAGGAGCTAACATTTTTGTCACTTGTTCTTCAGTGTTATGTACCATATGATTTAAATAGCAAGCTGATTCATAGATTTTTCTCCCATCATGGTTCTCAATTGTGACAGTAGGCCTTAAATTAGCTGAATGTTCTGCAAAGCTCGCATTAAATCTTGTTTTCAAAGAGTGTTTTCGAAGAGAGACATGGAGATGTTGCTGGGGACGGGAGTACCTGACCAAGAATGCAGTGGACATTCTTGGCAACACAACTTCTGCCTCGTAATTGATATCATAGTTTATACTTGTTGAATACGCATGAACATGAAGTAACAGTAAAAAATGAAATTGTTTCATGAAGTATCATGTTCCTTGATTGCATGCTTTTAGCAGTGAATATTGGTATGAAATTATTTTGTTTTCACCATAACTCAATAAACTAATAAGGTGTAACTTTTATGTGTTTTCTGCACAATTGTGGCCAATTCAAATTATAAGTACTTAAAATATGCGTATTTTCTCTTGTAAACCTAACATATTTTTCTTCAACAAATATTCCTTGTGAATTTAATTTAATGAAAAGTAGCTTACCAAGATTTTAGGATTGTTGAGGTGATTTGATTAGTGAGACTTTATTGTATCTTTGGTAATACTTTTCAAGTAATTACAATAACAGATGCCAAGTTTTCAAAGTATTAAGATTGCTCTTTTTACAAAACTACAAGTTTGATCATGAGTAAGAAGAACAATATATTGGGTATTGTTATTTCGACTAACCACATGCCATAATGTTTTTATTGCCACCACAAGCTGCCACAATATTTGACATAAAAATATAATTTAATTTTTTAAATCATATTTCTTAAAAATTAAAATATATGACACAATAAAATAGTAGATTAGAATGAGAAGAAAATAATCATAAATGTTGTTAAAAATCTATTAAACAAACTTTTAGAACATGTGTATAAATGTAGAGATATATATATGTATATGTATATATATATATATATATATGTATTAGAAAGAGTGGGAAAAAACTATTCCTATTATTAAATAAATGATCTAGAAGAAAAATTGCTCAAATAATAAGATTTTATATCTTACTCAAAATGTATTAAAAAAACATTCTTCACAAGTTTAAAAAGCATTCATACCACAATTCCCATTGCTAACATGGAAATTGACAAAACCATATTTTACATATACTAGTATTCTTATAAACTTGTAGTAATATTATTCAAATTGTATAATGCATTATTTATGTTCATAACTTTGTAATACTATTTAAAAGAAGTGTATAAATAAATAATAAATTTAATCATTCAAGTTGATGTCTTATTAGAGTGGATAAAATCATAGACAGATTGAATAATTTGATATGTTATTTACAACAAAAAAAAATAATGCTATCACTATTATTTATAATAATTATAATAAATTTAAATAATATAAAATATGATTCTTAAAGTATAACATCACAATTATTAAAACATAACCAAATACAAAGGTGTAACAGATGCCTATATTACTTAAATAAATAGAAATAAATTGAGGTTTGAGAAGTGAATAGGAATATGTGAAGTAGATAATATCTTCTTCATGAAACTTTGAGAAAGTTTTGTGGATGTAAATTATAAATTTAGACTCTTAAGCATATGTCATTTGACTATGAAACTTATTCTATTTGTAAACATTTTCTTACTTGTAGAAAGCAACCTACAACCTCACACTTGAGCCAAAGCTTCATGGTTTCTAAGAAGTTTTTGTAAGGTTTTTTTAGTAGCTAATATATATATGGAGGCAAGGTTGTGGCCATCTTTAGTCTTATACATATCTTTCTTGTATTCTAATTTTAATTCAAAATTCTCTTGCTTTTGTATAAATAACAATAATCATTCTAGTTTTTTCTATAATAAATATCTCTTTTATTTGCCTACTTTCTTATTTCAATGATACAAGAGTGTATTATCTTCATTTAGGTCCTTGACTTAAAGTTATTAACAAGAGACCAAGATTGTTAAATGACTCAAAAAAATTACATTAAAATTGTTTTAGAAACATAATAACATAATATTCAATATATAATATTTGATCTATAAGTTGAAGAACTTTATTATAAATACTCAAATGTTTTGCATATATAACATCAATTCAATATATTTTCAAATCTTTTCAAATCTTTTCAAATCTTTATATAAACTTTACATAACTTTTTTTGGTTTTATAAAATTAATTATTACTTAAATTTATTAGATTGTAGAATATTTAAAAACATTTGCTACAACCAAAAATATTTTTAAATTTTACTTTATAGTTTTTTTTTATAAATTCTATAAAACAAAGTAATAGTTCTTGCTTTATTTTTTATTATTTTCTTCAAGGTATGTAGACATTTTAAAATGTATCCATATATTTATTAATTTTTTTTATAAAAAATATTAAAAAAACTCAAACATTCTATTTATTATAATATATATGTAGACTTACACATATAAAGATTTATATTTATACATCTTTATACTTATAAATCTTATACTTGTAAATCTTATAAGATTTATATTTACACATATAAATCTTTATACTTATAATTATAAATTTTTTTATTTACTTGTATAAAGATTTGGACTCAATTTTAAATATCATTTTTAAAATTATTTATGTGTAAATAACTTATCAATTAAACATAATCTCATAAATAATATCCATTTTTTCTCTTTTTCTTTTTCATAATTGTTGTAAGGAGTACTATTCTACATTTAAAATGTAAACGTAATCTAAATACTTCAAGAATGTTTTTAGTATTATTTAGTATTTTTTTTCTGTATTACTTAAACCAAGGGTTTTTATTTATTTAATTCACTCCATTCTAAAGAAAAATATTGTAAGTCTTTATAGAACTCTAAATTAACATTCTTTTATGTTTTAATTCACCACCTTTGATAATAACTTTACTTTAAAACACAATGTAAATAATAATATTTTTCAATTGTCTGTAGTTAAAGATTCACTGTTTTACTTTATTTCAGTGATACAAAATATAGTTTATCCAAAAAAAATATTAATGGAGATGAATTAATAAGAATATATATATATATATATATATATATAAAAATATAAATATGTATCCGAATTGTTTATTGTGTGGTAGATATAAGAGCAATAAGAACCTTCATTAGATCCTAAAATAAGCTACTTATCTAAATTACTAGGCCACATTGAGACATACTTCAATTCTATTTAGCTATCAAATTAAACTTATTCTAATTACATTTTCTTGCCATGCATATTTTTTTCTATTTTCTTTACGAAAATTTCTTGATGTTAGGTACTTTTCCATCTTTTTAATTAAAACTTTCTATACTATTTGATCATATCCAATTAATCTTGACTGAATTATTTTCCTCATATGGAGGTCATTATACATTTTTTTCTCAAACACATATCTACTTTTTGAAATCAAATAGTCCAAATATAGATTTCACATTGGATATCTTTTGAATGAAAGTAATTAAATAAGTGCAACTATATTAAGGAATTATAAAGATTAATTAAAACAAGTTAACAAAAGTATAAATAATTTACTTTCTTTTTATACAATTATCACTCAAATTTTTTTCTTGTACTCTGATATAATCTTAAAAAGTAGATCTACATATTAAATTGTAGTGGCTTTTAAACATGACATATCTCTTAGGACCTTTCACACAACCAAGATTTAGAACAAAAACTTTAGAAGACAAAAATTGTTGGTAAATAAATGGGATACTAAAGCTAAGATATACTCTAAATATTCTATAAGACTATTTAAGAGTTTATTTGCTTTTGTATAATGCTAGTAATATTAAACAAATCCTAATTTACAAATCTCTCTCCAAGATTTGGCAATGTTTGTCTTTTTCTTTTTCTTTTGTATTTTTAATTTCTTTTTGCAGCAATAACTATAATCTAGAATTAAAGTATTTTTTATGTTCAAAAGACCGATTGACCTTTGGAGGCACTCATTCATATTTATGAAGGCATATTTTTTTTGTATAAAAAACTCTATTTAAGGAAAACTTAAATTTTTAAGTTGGTATGAAGTGTATAGAATAAGCATATCTATTACATATATAAGTATATATATATATAAAATATATATATATATATATATATATGTGTAATTTTTTATATTAATTAAATATTAGTTATACCTAAATATATTCATAATATATTTTAGTAATATAAGAAATATTTTGAATACATTTTTCTCATAAATAAATAAACTTAAGTAAGACACTTATATATTTTAATATATATATATATATATATGTGTGTGTATGTGTGTTTGTGTGTATGTGAGTGGGTGTATGTGTGTGTGAGTATAAGTATTTACATAAGTATAAATAGAGATACAAATATTAAGGTATGTGTGCACATACTAATGTATACGTAATTTATTTATTTTTATGTTATTAATTTATGTAAAGTTTATAGAGACATAAATAAAATAATAATATTTTTTAGTGTATTTATATATATATATATATATATATATATATATATATATATATATATATATATATATATATATATATCAATAATTTTAAGCGCTTCTAAAATATTTTCTAAATTGAAGTTTGTTTTGAAAATATACAATATAATAATAACTCATATTAGTACATTTATATTCTACAAAAAATAATTCACTTAATACAAATTGTATGATTTTTTTAACAAGCTAAAAATTAATCATTTTTTATATTTAAGTCATAATAAAAAAATTATTATTCATTAAATAATATTTTTCTAACTTTGAATTTTAATATTTGTTCATAGTTAGAATTTTTTTATATTAAAATTATTTAATAATGATGTAAACTACAACATATATTATTGTATTTTTTTCTTACAAAACTACCATGATGATTTAAACTTAAATTTATATTTTTTTATAATTTTGAAATATATTGAAATTATTATTTTTAATTGTTGAAAAAAAATATATTATGCAATAAAAAATATAAATTGAATCTTCATATTAATCTTCTTTTTTAAAATATCTATTTCTTATGCAAAAAAGAAAAATGAATATAATTTATGTGTGTATCTGAATATATATATATATGTA